AATATTTTTATAAATAAAATTTCTCCGCAGTTCATCGCTACGATCGTCGCAAAACATGAAAGTCTTAATATCCAATAATTTGTCGATCCAGATTTCCTAAATTACCCTGTATTAACATGCATACTCTCGAGCAATAAAAATAAGTATGTAGATTCCAGAGGAATCATGCCATTCGCGAGAAAAAAAATATTTGACTACATTGCTCGGGTCACTTAGTACCCCTAAACGTTTTTTTATTTGCAATACATTGAACTAAAAATAAATTACATGATGCGGGACTTTGCCCTTGGTATATGACAAAATCTATCCTATTCGATACGCTTCTATTTTATCTATAGTCCGCCCATACCGCCCATAACACCATGCATAGATAACCGCAAGAGAAAAATTTTAAGATGCAGAGTGCCCTATTCTGAATTTTTCCGATATCGTACTGCGCATTTCAGGTGATCAATTTCACGTGATCGCAAAAACTTAGTATGGTTTTTCCCAGCCTATTACAACTTGAAGTCAAGATTTATGATATTTTCTGGGTTGGTAGGTGAAGCATTCAGGATTTTTCCAGGACCGGCGGTCTCAGAAATTCAGTCACATGATTATCCGATGATATCTCCTTGAGGAATGCGTATACACTTCGACCGTAGTGCAGGTAAAGAAAATGATTAGGTTATACTGGCTGATCGTTCCCCGAGGGAACGGTTTTTTTACCAAGAAAAAGATCAAAAATCGGGAATATAGACGCATTTATGATCTGGTCTGATAATCGATCATGGATAGTATGTCAGTTATACTTAGATGGCAGTGACAGAAATAAATTCACGCATACCACAATACATCTGTTAGAAACATTAAATGAATAAAAATCGCGTGCGCTTTACGACAATCAATTCATCCTTATGCACATATATAAACATAAATCCCGATACTTTACTAATTTCAGCATTGCTAAATAGGTTTTATTGCATTTACAAAATGAAAATAACCTTTTTTGAAAAATTTAGCGATGTAATTATTACGTTATAATACAAATTTACTATTTTAGTATTTCCAACCCTGTGTTATCATTAAAGTCGATGTCCGTACAAATTCAAAGCTAAACAATTGCGTTACGCGGTTTCAACGATCCTTTCCAGCCAATCATCATTTGTAAACCACTAAAAGTTAATCTTTATTAAAATTGTATTACAAACAAACTAAAAAAACTAAGAGATAAACCGTTTACAAACAATTACCTCTCTAAACATTTTTTTTGCCCGATCGAGAGCATCTGAAGCAGTTGGTCGATTCTTTGGAGATTCATTACACAAATTCGCACTAAAGCTTACAAGTTCTTGAGGAATACCTGAAATGTAACATGAAGCAACTAAATTCCCAACACCCCATATATCAACCTTAAAATTATGTTTTTTAATTAGCATTTCAGGAGCATGATCACTTTCAGAAAATTCTTCCAAAGGCATATCAGCTGGGGAAAATGTAGCATAGTCAAAATCGATTAAAATGAATCTCAAGTATTCATCGTAATGGCGAATAATATTTGGCCAACGAACATCCCTGTGCATTATCGGTTTTGGTTTACTTAAATGCATGCCCTGTAAATATCATACAAAATCTATAAATATAATATATACGTAATAATAACACATTTTTACAAAACTCTACCTTCAAACAAGTTAATATGCAAATTAACGCTTGAAGTAACTCTTTAAGTTTATTTGGTTCTTGTTGTTCTCCGCGCGGTACCAAATGAACTGAATGTCTAGATAAATATTCTAATCTATCGGAAAATTTAACATTATTTGCCTATATAAATGTTAGAATATACCTTTAAAAAAAGGTGAAAATCTCAATCTTACCTGTAACATTCCATAGATTTCTTTTAGATGAATAACTTGTGCTTCGTCTGTAAATTTTTTCGTAACCGCATACCCAAGTTCAATAACAGTTCCATTTGATCGAATCTTTGTTTCGAAGTCTGGAGAATCTCTTTGAGGGCATAGATTCACTATAATAGGTAATATACGACCTAAATAATGATAGTATAAATTAGAATTTCATAAGAAAAATTTAAAGCTAAAAAAGCACTCACAGATGTTTCGAAGGAAATTCATAACGCGAATTCTATCAGACAAACGTCCCAAATCATATTCTGCAATTCGCTCAGAATAAACACCTCGCTTTCTCTTATTACTCGTCTTATTTATAGGCTTATGCAATGTAACAAAAGTTACAAGAACTCCAACAGCATAGTATGCAAAGAGGTATGGAGCATTTCCATAAGTCCAACCTTTGAATTTTTCGGTTAATTCTTTCGAAGGATCTCCTGCATCTTCCCGGGACTTTTCTTCACCTCGAAAAGGACAAACATTTCTTACTAACACAACCATGTCTGGGCGATTGCGACCTATGAATCTTTTTGTTAATATATATCAAATTAATCAACCGCTACTATTTAATTAACGTTACCTGTTGTGGTTCGTTTGCTAGTATTACGATCAAATTCCAATGTTGGCAAACTAGTATTCTGCTTTCCAAATATCTCTATCGTATTTTTAATAATACTATCCCACAGATCATGATATGAATCTTCATTTTTTCCATATGAGGGAGGGTAAATTAACTGTCCAAAAAGTTTTGAAAAAAGTGATGTACATTCCTCATCTGTATTTTGTGTAAAATATATATCTCGTTCTTCCTCAGTTATGCCATCCAGATCTCCAGTTTTAAATTGGAAAAAATGAATAGGGGCAAGCGGTATTTTTACTGGAGGATTTTCGTTAAGAAAGTTTGCTAGATCGGATCTGTTAGGAAGTTGGCCAGGACTCTGAACTAATTTTTTTATTACTTCAGCAGTTATATCTAAGATAATGAAATATCGTAAGAATGTTAGAATAAGAACAACGTAAGAAACGAAGAAATTAGAAACTTACCTTTTGGAATACTTGGAACTGTAAAATAAGTTACGCAAAATTAGTATTAATGAGTGTGACACAGCAAAAACTAAAATGAAACAAAAATCAAGCCAAGACACGTTCATTCATTTATTATGACTCACTTACCAGCAATGGGTTGATCTACGATAACGTGAATGTGTTTTTGGGCGGGTTTGACGATAAGAAGCAGGAAAGAAAAGCACAGGATTATGTAAGTATTCGGTATTATTGGCGAATATGACACGGTGTGAGTGAGAGAAGACGAAAAAAGAAGCTTTTTACCTCCTCGAATTTGACTAATCAGTTTTCCGATCCCTTTAGTTGGTTTAAGAG